GGGGTGATATTTACAGTGGCGTAAAAAATACCACCTTGCTGGTTAGTTGCTGCTTGCTGCTTGACGCTTGCTGCGTCCAGTCTGAACTAGACATTACACACGCTTCGGAGCTTTCGGTTACGGCTCATTTTGTCGCGTTAACGCAACGAGCTCACGGGTGAACATCGATGTATGAGGCTTCGTATACACGGATGCCAGGACGTGTCTGGACATCGAGCGGCTTGCTAATGCGAGCCCCGAGCGCGGTGCAGAAAATGAGCGTATGCATATGCGCCGCGGTGCACGCCGCCGAGAAAATCGAGAGCTCTTGCGGTAGAAGGTTTAACAGAAAGTGGCATACGTAAAAAAAAAAAATATCCAAGCAAAATTTACTGCCAAGGATAACAAGCGTTGCTCAACGTTATACGCGAAGCATGATATAGGAAGTGAAAAAAAAAGGGATAACATCATTAAGTATCTGTCGATATGGTTGCGAAATGGGACGCAGTCTTTGGAGAATTGGCAAGAAACGTGATACGCAAAGAATACACACGGAAAAGTTTTTGAGAAAGGAAAGGTACACCGCTCGATCGTATATACAGGAAAAGTTCTTTGGGAAATGTTGGAGCGCCGAAGCGGTTTGATAGAAAAATGTTTTCTCTCGTATGATCTCTTGTTTAAAATCACGGCTTTGAAAGTCTTGATCTGAATATCCGTGTGATCTTCTTTCTATATGTGTGTGCGAAAGACTAATTATCTTGATATTTGGTTTAGATTTGAGAACAATTAAATAGCGGCAATGAAATTTCATGTGAGAATAAAGAGGTAATAAAAGCGTGGAATTTAGTTTGCGATATGAAAATAATGCGAACTAATCTCTACAGAAAATTATAACAAAAGAATCACAGAAGATGAGAAAAAAAACTCACGATAACATTGATAACATTGCGCGATGATGGTCCAGTATAAAAAAAAAGTACAAGTTATTAAAGTTACAGCATCCAAAAAAGCACAAGTTATTAAGTTATTATAAAAATTATCATAGAACTTTTTTTAGAAAACAGGAAACAATTTTTAATATTCACAAAAGGATATTGCGAATGTTATCAATTATCTTTTTTGTACTTTTACTGGTATTCACATGTACAATGCGATTTTAGTGGGTGTTGGTGAAAATTCAACATTAATATTCCTCTTTTATCAATCTATTAATTATAATTACAAATATACATTCAATTATTTTATTTTTTAATAGATTCTACTTTTTATCGTCTAATTATGATAATATCACTAAGCAACGAAGCGTTTGTCAAACCGCAATGATGCGACGAATAAATAGATAATTATAATGCATGAATGACTGTACTCACCATTCTCTGCACTGTCGTTGTCCCTCCGCCAACTGCTGCTCCCTCGATCTAGCCATCCACTCACTCGCCAATCGATCGAAAAAAAAACCGCAGCTAATTACCACCATTGCACATCGATTAATAATGCGATGATTTATCCGCACAGCATTTGACTCGGTACTCCCGTGCATTCACACATGTACGCATGTTCAACTTCCAACATGTAGAAAATACGCTGCAACACAAAAAAAATGAATTCTTAAAGGAATGCATAAATGCTTCAATCGAAGAATATTTTATGCTTAAAATAGCGCCAAGAATAAACAATTTCCAATTAAAAATAAATTAGTCTTAAAATGAAAGGAAAAACTGGATCAAACTCTATTAATGTGATTCAAAGGCAAGTGAAATGCTGAGACCGTTCTATCAATACCTCCGTTAGCTATATTGCAAATAATGATGCAAACAGACGATCAACCTCGTCATAATGGTAGAGAACGCTGGCTGCACACACAGGCGGATCCGCCGCGACGGATTCATTGCTCATCTCAACATTTAACTGTGGATAGCAGATCCGCGAATCCGCCGCGGAAAATCCGTGTACAGGCAACCGCCTCTTCGTCGCGTCGCAGTGACAAAGTCGGCTGTTCACGCATCCCCATTTGCAATATAACTGACAGAAACATTAGGACGAGCTGAATATTTCAACCATCCTTAAAGATTGAACCACATTTAGAGATATGTTCCACGAATGCAACAGTTCACTCACAAAACCATCGTCAAACGTCACTCATTACACCCATGCACTTCCGACATCTTGATATTACTGGCCACGTTTACACCGTGTATTTAGACCGCGGACTATCCGCCTATGCAATATCCTGTAGATTAAACAAAGACACCTATCGTATAAGTCGCGGACTAAACGCACGGTGTGAACGTAGCCATTAAGGGGCCCTTATACACACTGTTGCCGCCTGCCGGCGAATTTTCAAATTTGTAATTCTAAATCCAAGAATAAATAGTTTCTAGATAATACGATTGAGTTTGTTAGGACTGTGTAATGATTTTAGAAACAAGAACACAATTTTAAGAATAAAATATACTTTGCACAAATCTATTTATTATAGACGCCAGTGAACATTTATAATTGAAGAGAACATACTTAAATGAAAGTAAATAGCGTACAAGAATAAAAATATACGTGAATCAGGAATTTATTTTTTTCTGTGAATATTTTTATGTCGATGATCGATTTAAGAAAATTTGAATTACATACTTATGACGCGTATATACAATATTTTAACCTTTCCTTTGCAATCTATTAGGTCTTTTTGGCATAAACGAAATTTTAATTCGTTTCTTAATTATCGTAATTGGATGATGAAAAGTAGAATTTATTTTAAAAAACTAAAATATCGCGATTTTGTAATTTTACAATTAGTAAGCTACTAAATAAATAAGAAACGTTAATGTTGAATTAAAATGTTGAATTTTCGTTTTAAGAAACTGCCACTAAAATCGCATTCTCCGAAATAAAATCTTTTACTGGTAAGTTATACATTTTTAAACAAATTTTCTTTTTTTTTCTTTATTTTTGCTCAAATTTAAAATTTTATTAATTAAAGATTTTAACATTTACGTTAAAAACTATTTGATAATTATAGTAACAGAGATATTAAAAAATAATTCTAAATTTTTTCACATTTTTTGAAATTGTAAAAGAGGAAATTTGGGATAGAAAAAACCTAGTTTGCAAATGGAGGATTAATATATAATAACCAAACGACATGCTCTTGCTACTATTAATGTACTTTACATAAGATACACTTCTCTCGGCACTTCCGTATGCATTTCGATACGATTATGAAATAAGAACGGACTATGAATACCGCCCTTGACGGAAGAAAAAACTACTGTATGCTGTCATCTAATGGTATATCACTCAAATTCTGTATTGCACGCAATCAATAATTTTAACGTGTTGATATAACATTCTTATCTAATGAAATTGTTTGTGATACAATATTGTATTACAAATTTCATTAGATAAGAATGTTATATCAACACGTTAAAATTATCGATTGCGTGCAATACAAAATAAAAAAGTCATTGCGATAAAAAAGTCATTGCGCGGCAGAAGATAAATATATTAATATATTTATCTTCTGCCGCGCAATGACTTTTTTATCGACATGTAATAATTATACTAACTCTACAAAATTAGTATAATTATCACATGTCGATAAAAAAAGTCATTGTACGGCAGAAGATAAACATGTGATAATTATATTAACTCAGAGAACATGCCTGTCTGAAAGACATCCAAAAGACGTCTTTAATTAGACCTCTTTAAGGGGATGCTGGAGCCGCCTGTTACCGATAAAACTAGCGTTTTTGACGTTTTTGTTTCTATCGAATTTCTTCGTAATAGTTTCACAGAATAAAAATTTTTCTTCCACAATTAAAATGTATATGCTAATGTATTTGTCGCTGGTGTATTTTGTGTTCAAAGTTGGAAAAAATAAAAAAATTACAAATTTTTTTATCCATTTTACCTTTAGCGTTGACCGCCATATTGACAAGTAACACTAAGGCCGGAATCAGACTATGCATTGAAGATTAAGGTTGAAGATTAAAGATTGAAATTTGACCAATAAGAACAAAGAAATTTTAGCTCCTTTCGTTTCGATTGGTCAAATTTGAATTTTTCAATCTTCAATCTCAATCTTCAATGTGTAATCTGATTCCGGCCTAAGGAACTAGATATGTAGGTATCCGCCATTTTGGTTCCACTTGAAGGTCATTCCGCTCTTTAATACGGAATCCATAGGCTGGATTCACACTGCATTCGATTTTCGTCGTACGACGAAAATCTGATGCAGTGTGAATCCAGCATCAGTGTCTCTAGCTTGTGAGCGTTGTGAGCGCCAAATGGAACGTACTCCATGATTTAAATTAAACAACCAGCGTATAGCGCGACCTGCACAGTGTCACGTGAGAGTTGCTCACACCATGAAGTTGCGCAATGGCGCATTCAGCGGACTCAACAGTTGAGTGAGCGTTCGCTGCTATTGACGTATTCTTCTAGATCTAAAATTATGATTGGATGATCTAAAAGAATACACCAATAACAGCGAGCGCTCACTCAACTGTTGAGTCTGCTGAACGCGCCCAATGCTGCAATTTCACGGTTGCTCACGGTGTTATGTCATACTCCGTAATCAACACGGCGCGAGCTAACCTATCCATGAGTCAATGGG